ACAAAAAATGAGGTTAATTTTTATTAATGTAAATAAATACCTTTAAAACAATAAATGCCTAATTAAATAAACTACATATATAAATTTTATTCATTTGAAAAATATTTATATTTTTACAACAATTAATATTAGCAAAAACTATTCTACATATTCTTTATTAATTTATTTGTTTAAAACATTAGAAAAAACATTGAGCACCTAATTAACAAATAAATACTTTATAAAAGTCTCTTAAAATAAATTCATAATCATGTAGAAAAGAAAAATATCGAGATGAAATATTTTTATTAAAGATACTACATGCGTATTTTTATAAATTGTTTATTATATTCTATGAAAGCTCAATGTGTTAAAACTTGTATATTTCAAGAGAAAGGATAAAAGCACCCAGAAAAAATATTTTTACTAAAGGTGTTAATTCTATATTTATATAAGTAATTTATTATATATTGTATTAGCAATCTGTTGATGTTTATATATTTTTAGAGAATTAAAACTTTTTAAATCATGTCAATTTTTGAATTTATCATAGTACTAGTTACTTTAACAAAATTAGTAAATATCTTTTTGTATTTTATATTAAATCATTTGCTAAATATTTTATAAAATCATTGCATGGGTAATTAATAAGCTAATTCTTAGGTAGAATATTTAACAAAGAAATTACTAAAGAGTATGTAAAGTGTTTTTTATTATTTTTATTTAATGTAAAAATACTTTTGTTATATATAATTAGATATTATACTATACTATTACATAACATAAAATTAATAATTTATTTCAAATATCATTTATGATCCTTTAAATAGAAATATTCTAACTTAATCTTTTTATTATTTTTGATAGATAAATAATTTTTATAATGGAAAATTTCTAATTTAAAGAAAAAATTTTTTTATTTTTATTAAAAAATAAATCCTCATAAGAATCTTTGATTATGTGTAAAATAATCTTTTTATATAAAATTATAAACTTTCATTATAATTATTAATAGTTTTTTTAAAGATCCTTACCTTAATTAACAACACAAAAAATTTTCCAATTGTTCCAAAAAAAAAAAAAAATCATTTTTTTTATTTTTTTTTTAAATTAATAAAATGCAATTAAAAATAACATAGTTATAAGAAAATTAAAAAAAAATAAATATTTTATTTTGTGTTAATTCAGCTAATCATTATTTTTATTTTAAAATCATCCACTAAGAGTATTATCTAAAATGTTAATCATGAATAAATGACTTTATATTTTATTTAAAATTTACTAACAATTATTTGATAAAAGGTTGATGATATCCTCTAAGAAAACTCAAAAAAAAATTTTGAGAAAAGGATCAAAAAGGAAGATATTTTCTTTTTAGAGAAAGTTTCTTTTGGTTAATGGAAGATATTATTATCCTTTTTGAAGATAAAAAGTAATAGTTGTATGTAAAATAATAAATAGCCATGCAAGCACTAGAAAAAAAAAAAATTGTTAATTTTTATGTTTTTTTTTAGTAAATTTCAAATGAATAAAAAAATAAATTTATTTTTTTTTAAAATGACTTAATGGTCAAAAAATTAAAAATAAGGAATTGTTGACTAAAAAAGATTCTTGTAGTATACTTTTGTTTAAATATATATAAGAAAATTTTATATTAAAAAAAAAAAAATTTTCATGTTCTGTAATATTTATATAATTTATTTTGCATTATATTAATTTGAAAGAAATGAATTTAAGTTACTAAACATTACATATAACATTATAAATAAAATGTATGTAATTAAAATTGATAATTAATGAGGATTTAAATTTTTAATAAAAATATAGGACTTTTATTAAAGTAAATAAACGCCTATTGTAAATAATAAATGCTCAACGAAATACACTATATATACAAAATAGTTTACTGCTATATAACGTTAAAGTTATACCTAAGCTCATTGAATTAAGAGGGTAACTCTAAATGCTCTTTACTAATATGTTTGTTCAATACACTAGCAAAGTCATTGAATAGACAATTAATAAATCACCTATATAGTAGCTAATCGTTTAGTAATGAAACATATAATTATTTTGAAAAATAAAAATATAAAGTTGTAATACTATCATTTATGATATTTAGTTATTTTATTTTTTCTATCCCATGTTATGCTAATTTTGTACATAGAATGTTGACAAGTATTCTATTAAAATTATAATTAATTTTAACTTTTGAATTTATTATAAAAGTATAAAACACGTAATTTAATAATTTGTTAGTTATTAAAGCAAGAATATATGTTAGATTTAATCAAATATTACAATTAACATAATTGAAAAAAGGAAAAAACGATAACTATTCGTCAATAAAATAGCCTAAGAGTTATTCTGATTTCTACAAGACAAATAATGATTCACATTTATCTATTAATAATTGCAAGACTAAGAAAATAAATAGATAAATATAGAAAAGACTTCTATATTATGAAAAGGGTAATGAAAAATAGTTCCATAAAAAAATAAAGCTTAATTGTCCTATATTTATGGATTATAATTAATAAAATGGTTTATTAGCTTTTTTTTATATTTCATTTCAATCTATAAAATAAAATAAACAATATACAAATAAAATACAATATATATATAAAAAAAGAGTTAATGATATATCCTAAAGTTGTCATATTTCCATTTATGCAATTTTGTTTTTTGCATGTTAAAAATAAAAATATTCAGATATCATATTTTTATTGGTATGTTTTACATTTATATATTGTGATATTTATTTTTTATTATGTTAAATCCAAATATCTAAAAGATAATAATAAGTAAAATAACAATTAAATATAGCTTGTAAATTCATTATTTAAATGTATAATATTACATTTAGTATCTCACATTTTATCCATTTTATGTGTATTTATGATATTTAATGAATATTTATGAAAATAATAATTTTTAATCACTATCTTTTCTCTTGTATTATTTTTGGTAAAAATACCCTAATACTTTAAATATTAAAAAAAAAAAATATATCTTTAATATTATTTTAATTCATGATAAATATTTATATGGATTACATTTAATTTATAATAAATGTTAAAAATAAATTAATTGAAATACATAAGTTATGCAACAATTACTATTAATATAACAATAAGAAATATTATATATCCTTTGTTTATGTTAAATGTTCAAAATGTTATATAAATAGATATTATGTATTATAATAAGAATCATACTACATTGATGAAAAATTCCCAAATCTTATATAAATCTTAAATTTTTATATTTTTTTTAAATTTGTTTAATACATCTTTTTTTTCCTTATGAAAGTAAAACAAGTCTTTATTTTTATTTTTTTTTATCTTATTTTGTTTATTTATCATATATAATATAGTAAAAATTAAATTTAATGTAATAATTTTATTATTTTTTTTCAAAAATTAATTATTGGAAATTATATATAGTAACTATGCTTAGGTTATTAATTGTTTAATTATTTAATTGTTCTCATAATTAAAAAACTTGTGACTATTATATTTTATATTCATAACTAATATATATAAATATACATATATATACACTAATTATTTATTATAATTACTACTTTTATTTTTTTCTAAGTTTTAATGTTAAAAAGTTATTTGTATATAATGAAGTTGCATGCAAATAAACTCATTTTAAATATATTTTCATTGTTAAAATTCAATTGACATTCCAAATTACTATTATATTATTGCTGAAGAAAAATTATGAATTAAAAAGTTATTATTTATTTAACAAAATGTTTTTCTACTTTATATAAATGTAAAATTTTATATAACATTCTATGTTACTATTTAAAATAATATTTTTATAACTTACATTTATTTCTGTTTTTCTCTTTATTTTTATTCTTATATTATCTTCTATTTGACTTTGGTTGTATCACTAATAATAAAAATACAAAATTTTACTATGAATTAATTTTTTTGTATTTAATTAACGTTTCTTAATTCTTTTATGTTTTTTTTATAATAAAAATTTAAACAATCATATATCGAGTATAACATATGTATCTATTTATTCACTAAATTTTAATACATATATAATAATTTATTTGCATGTCTTTAAAATTATTATAGCATCTATAATATAAATTAACTTTACCTTTATGTTAATAATTCAAAGTTTTTTTTCTTTCTTTTAGGGTTTAAATAATTCTTTTTATTTTTATTTTTTTCTATTTTATAAAATATAAAATTTTAAAAATAATTTAATTTCTTATTTAGTTTTTTAAAAAATATATTAAAAATATGCATAATAAATTATTTTACTATTCGAAAAATATTAGATATAATTTTATATAATATTTTTTTTCCTCTTAGATATATACGAACAAGAATCTTTTTAATTTTTTATATAATATAAATTTTATAACTAAAATATTTAAAAAAAAAGATTCTTTAATCCTGCTATATTATAAAATTATAAACTTCAAAATTGTAGAAATATGTTAAAAATTTTCATCTATTAAATACTTTTTGATTCAATTTTAATATATACAATTAACAAAAGAAATTAATGATTTATATCTAGTATTTAACTAATGGTGTTTTAGTGGTTAATTGTTTTTATTTATTAAATATCTACATATTTAATATAGATATCTTAAATTAATAATTTAATTCAAACATATCATAATTATTTTGTTTCTTTTTATTGTTTCTTTTTTTTACTACATATAATTATTTAACTATTTCTTTTATGATATTTAGAAGAAATTACTAGTCATAAGAAAAAATATTTTTTGAATTATATATTCATTGAAAAACGTACGAAAACAAATAAGTATTATCAATAATTACTTTATATTTTAAAACTTTTGTAAATAATTATCATATATATTGATATACGAAAGATTATTATAATTATATAAGAAAGTACAGAAGATATTTCTAATTAAATTATTTAACTGAAGTTTCATTTTGTCAAGTTAATTTAAAATAAATGTAATGCTATATCAGAAAATGGTAAAAATAAGCATAATAAATTGTTCACTGATGATTCTTTATCTTTCTATTTTAATTTGGATATTCAACTATTTTTCTAGTATTAGGTAATAATCATTTAAGAAAGCGCATTTAAATTATTCATTCTTATAAATTTATATTAAGTTATAAAAAATGATTTTAAAATTTTTTATTTAAAATTTCCATCATAATATATTTTCTATAGTTTTGAGGTCAGAAAAAACAATTTAAAAATAATGCCTATGATTAAAAATGGAAGAACACTAATGGAAAGACAGTTAGGTCCAGAAATTTCAAAAACTATAATTTTTAGGGATGTTCAAAAACACCTACCTAGATGGTTAAATTATATTGAAAGAGAATTATTTAATCAAATAGATAAATTGCATGAAAATTTTACAGCCGATGGTATAAGAAATTTCATTGATTGGATGCATAATAAAAGTTTGCACATTACAGCAATATTAAATAGATCTCCTGATCCTTCAGATAAGCAGTTTTTAAGAAAAACTTTGGAATCATGGGAGAAGCTCACATCATCTATTCTAGAATCTTCAATAGAAGCATACATTGATAAATACATGTTACATAATAATGGTAGTGAAGGGGCTTTGCCAAATACATCTTTTACATCATCAGATAATTCATCTAGAGTCACTACACTACCGACAACTCTTTTACCTACCAATTCTTCAATTCCCTTAACTACTTCCTCTCATAATCAAGAAGCCACTTCTTCTGCAACTCCTGTAAGTTCAACAGAACACTATACTTATAATAACGGAACTAATTCAACGATTTCCATTGAACAAAATGTCACCGCTTCACCTGAAATTTCACTTGAAACAGTAACTACACCGACAAGTAATGTGCTTCCATCGTTACCTTCAGAATCTGGTGGTATGTCTAGTGCTGTGTGCACTGGATTTTTATGTGGTCCAACAATTGCCGCTTTTTCAGTTCCTCTTGTTCTTCTTGGATGTGTACTATGTTTTGTTCTCCTTTACAAGGTAGAATAAAATTAAAGCTATAAAATATGTATAATATGTTTCTTTTTTTATATCTATTTATTTAAATTAAGATTATATTCATATGAAAAATTTTAATTTTGCAATATAGCATACTCCTCTTGGATCATTACTTGGAAGAGATAATAAAAAGAAAGAAAAAGGAAAAAAACGATTACGTGAAATGGCAAAGCATAATATAGAAAATTCTCCAGAAACCTTGGAAGAAACAAAAGCAAAGAGAAGTAGATTAGATAAATTTCTTCGAGCATTTGGTTATGATAAAAACTTTCCTTATATAGATGAAGAAACAGGTAAGGAAAACATATAATGATTATATTTTAATGAAGCATGTGTCTTTATATAAAAGTTATTAAGTGTTAATTTTATATTTATATATGGAAGTATTTAATTTCAAATAATATTTAATTTTCTTTTAATGTGTTTAAAAATTTTCTGTAAACTTTAATACATAATTGATTTTTAATATTTTTTCCATTATTTTTTTTTTATTATATATTTCTATTGATATGTTTTAGTATTAAAAAAATATTTTGTGTTGAGGCTATTCATTTTTAATTTTTGTTTTATATAAAAATATAAATATTAAAATAAAATTTGTGTATTTTTTTTTATCACAAAAAATGTAATTTGTTTTTTTACATATAATGGCATATTTTTTTATGGATTATATTTGTTATATAATATCTTTGACAATGTTTTTAATTTTACAATTAACATTTTTAGAACAAATCTGTAAAATGAATTTTGGTGCTTAACTAAAAAAATATATACATGTTTTTTCTATATATCATAGTAAGCCTTAAATTTTGGCTAAATTTTTTTTTTTCGATATCAACTGTAATCATATTTCATGAGTAATTAAATTATAAAGGATATCACTGGTTAATAAAAGGCTTTATTAACCTTTTTGGAGATAAAAAGGACTAGCTATATGAAGAATACGTAGTTGGTCATGCACAAGCAAATAAAAAAAAAAAAAAATATTATAAATTTTTTTTTTGTTTTTCTTTTTATATATTAAAAGATGTAAAAAAAATATATTTATTTTTTTAAAAAAAAAAAAAGGAATTTTTTTTTTTGGAATGAAATATAATTTTGATGAATTTTGTAAAAGAAAATTTTATACAAATAACAATAAAATTTTCATGTAATTAATATTTATATAATTTTTTGTATTGTCAATAATTGCTTATGTTTGTTAATTCAACAGCAATATATTTAAATTGCTGAACATAACTCATAACAAATAAATAAGTAATTTACATTTAATTAATAGTCAATATTCATTAAGGATTTAAATTTTTAATAAAAATAGGAATTTTTATTAAAGTAAATAAATGCCTATTGAAATTAAAGAATGCTGAACGAAGTAGAGCACACAATTAAGAATCACTTGTTCAAAGCATATAAAAATATATATAAATACAACAAAATCGTAGAGGCATCTCTACATTCTCTTTATTAATTTGTTTTTTCAGTACTCTAGTAAAGTCACCGAACACCCAGTTAATAAATCAATTACATAATTAAGGATCACTTGCTCAAAGCATTTAAAAATATATATAAATACATCAAAAATTGTAGAGGAAACTCTACATGCTATTTATTAATTTGTTTGTTCAGTACTCTAGCAAAGTCACCGAACACCCAGTTAATAAAACACATATCTACTAATTCACTAAAAGAATTAAAGAAATAACTTAATTTATAGGTGTAACAATGGAATCTAAGGAATATTTAAGGTATATCAGGAAAAATATCGAAGAAGATAATGATAAGCATGAAATTTACAAATAAGCAAGTTAGAATAAAACATGCAAGGATAAATGTAGCAGAAATATTTGTATTAATTAGAGAAATTATCGTTGATTTATTTACTAGCTGAATACCAAAACACTCTTGTAGTGCTTTAACCAATTAAATTAATAAGGAGCATGTAGAAAGATCTTTTCATATTTTAATTATCATAAAATTATTTATTATAGATAATTATATAATCCATATATAACTACATTGTATAACATAATATTGATTTATTAATTGCCTGTTCGGTGACTTTGCTAAAGTAATAAACAAACAAATTAATAAGGGGCATGTAGAGTTTCCTCTACGGATTTAATGAATTTATGGGCAATTTCTAATGTTATATACAAGTAAACTATATTTATGTAGTCTGCTTTATTGAGAATTTATTTTCTTTTAAGAGGTATTTATTCAATTTAATAAAAATTGCATTATGCTTATTAAAGATATAAATCCTTATTGATTATTTATTTTAACTCATATATATTTTTAATTATAATTCTACGAATAATGTTTAACACTTAAGTATATTATGTTAAATTAACAAGCGTACATTATTAATAAAATATAAATTATATTATTTAAATAGTAGATATATAAAAATTTTATTATTAATTATATAAAATTTCATCTTAAAAGTTCAAAATATAAATTCAATACAAAAGAAACTCTTTTGTCAAAAAAAATACTTCTAATGTTTTTTTTTTTTTTTTTTTTATTTAGAGCTTGCATGCCTAACTATGTATTTTCCACATAGCCAGTTTTTTCATTTTAAAAAAGGTTAATATTTCTTTTTATTAATCAAAAATAAAAAAATTATTTTATATTAAATTAAAAATATTTGAAGTTGTCATATATTTAAGAAAGACCTAGATATTCTCATCTCGTTAAAAATTCATAAGAAAGTTTATATAGCTATGTAATAACTATCATTAATCTTTAAAAATTTCATTGTATTAAAAATTCAAAAATGTTGAAAATATTCTTCATCAACATTGATCATTTATAGTATTCTATAATAAAAATAATTAGAGTTACATAAATATATATATATATATATATATATATATATATATATATATATATATATATATATACAATTGATTAATAAAAGATATTATTAACTTTTTTGAGAATAAAAAGTAATGGCTGTGTGGAAAATAAATAATTTATCATGCAACCTCTAAATAAAAAAAAAAATAAAATTAGTTGTTAATTTTTTTTTTTTCTTTTTGTAAATTTAAAATACATAAAAAAATATATTTATTTTTTTTTTAAATGATTAAACTGGAAAAAAATTAAAAAGTGGAGTTATCCACTAAAGAGTTTCTTGTATTATATTTTATTTAAATTTATATAAGAGAATTTTATATTAAGAATAATAAAATTTTCGTGTTGTGTAGTATTTATATAATTTATTTTGTATTTATTAATTATATGTTGTGCTAATTAGAGAACAATGGATTTAAATTAACAAACATTTCTTAATATAATAAGTAAAATATATTTAATTAAGAATCTATGCTCAATGAATATTTTAATTTTTAATAAAAATAAGAATTCTTATTAAAGTAAATAAATATCTTTTAAAAATAATAAATGCTTAATGAAGTATATCAATAAATACAGTTTACTCGTTATCAGAATTAAAATTATATTTAAATTCATTAAAATAATAAAGGGTCTCTACTGCTTTTTATTAATATGTTTGCTGAATACTCTAGAAAAGGCAATGAATAAATAGTCAATAAATCAACAGTTTACTTCATTGAAAATTTATTTTTTTTAAGAGGTATTCTTTTACTTTAAAAAAAATCCTTATTTTTATTAAAAATTAAAATCCTTATTAATTGTATATTTTAATTACATATATTTTATTTATAATTTGATGAGAAGTGTTTAGTAATTTAAATCCATTGCTATCAAATTAGCAAAAAAAAAAAAAAAATAAATAGAAAATAATCTATATGATTACTACAAAACACGAAAATTTTATTATCTTTAATATAAAATTTTCTTATATAAATTTAAATAAAATGTACTATTAGAAACTTTTTATTCAATTAGTCCACTTTTTAATTTTTCTCCAATTTAATCATTTTCGATAAAAAAAAAAAAATATTTTTTTTTATGTACTTCAAATTTATAAAAAGAAAACAAAAAAAATTAACTAATTTTTTTTTTTTTTTTTATCTAGAATTTGTATGATGATTTATTAATAGCCTGCTTGATGACTTTGCTAATGCTGGACAAACAAATTAATAAAGAGCATATAAAGCAAACTCTATTTAATTTAATTCTTATTTAATTAATTTTTTAAATTTTAAAATCTTTTAACTTTAATAAAATATATTCTCTATTACAATTTGCACACATTATTCCTTAAAAAAAAAAAAAATTATCTAAAATTTTTTTTAAGATTACCATTTTTTTATTTTAAATATATATAAAAAAATGTGTTGTCATAATATATTGTTCTTTTTAAGTAGCGTTATACACCAAAAAAAAATATGTGATATATCTTCTTTTTTCATTCGTAGATACACATAAAAAAAAAATAAAAATTATTATTTATTAAAATTTTTTATTTTAGTGTACTCACTTTCGGTACAAGTATTTATATATATTTTTTTTTTTTTAGTTTACATGCCTTTCAGTAACTGTTTTAGAGTACGCATTTATGATTGTACATTGTCTCCATGATTTAGCATACACAGAATAAAATGTTTTTATTCTATGTTATCCATCTAAATATTATACAAAAGAGGTCTATAATATTATTTATAGATCACCATGCAAGGGCCAGATAAAAAAAAAAACTAGTTAATTTTTTTTGTATTTTTTTTGTAATTTAAATATATAAAAAAAATATATTTATTTTTTTTTGAAATTACTTAATTATTAGAAGGATTAAAAAAAAGAATTGTTGTCTAAAAATTTCTATGTAGTGAAATTTTTTTTTTGAGTTTTTATGAGAAAATTTTATGTTAACAATTATAAAATTTTCATATTTTGTAGCGTTTATATAATTTATATTGAGTTTTGTTAAGATCAACGTATATGAATTGCTAAACATTAAACATAACGTTATAAATAAAAGATATGTAATTAAAACCAATCATTAACGAGGATTTAATAAACAAACTAATGTTATTTATTAAGAATCAGAGAGGTAAATAATGTTAAGAGAAAATAGAGTATAATTTACCAGTAATTTATCATAATGGAAGTATCATTTGAAACTTTCAATTCTTAATATTAAAGTATCTAAAATAATGATTAAGACTTATTATAAGGATAAATTCAATTAATATAAGAAAATTATATCGGTAAAAATTTAAATTATTAGAATTTAATTAAAATTTTAATACTTTCAAGGAGTTCAAAATATATTTAATTGATCTTTTAAATGATACAAACTTATACTAATAATAAATTGGATGATACATACGAAGATATTTATATTATTTCATCTTATTTTAATAATGATGATATAATACAATA